GGTCCAGTCACAGCGGCCACAACATCCACTCGGACAAATTAGCAAACGAATGTAGCGGATATTTCTTGGTAGATCAGGGGGCAGAGATATTTTATTTTCGCATTGCTAGTGAGGCAGGATGGAAGCAGGATTGCCAGTGGCTGCTGTCATTAAGCAGCCGAGTTTCAGAAGAGATGGTGTGGATTGGTTGAGGATTTTCAACGTATTTAGGAGAACCAAGTTTCAAAACTTTGGAAACGATGGGATGCAGGGATGAGGGGAGCGTTGCGTCCTGGGGACACCTCTGCTTGAGTCAGGAACAGTGGCTGAGCATTGCTGAGGGGACCAAAAGCGAAAAGAGGGTTTGATTTCCAGGAGGAATGCATTCGGGATCTCTCATTTCTGTCGTTGTGTGTTATCCAGCATTTTTACAGCCGTAGCCATCATTATAGAGCTCTGGCATGCATAGCATATACAGAACATTAAAATCTGCCTCTCTGCTGCATCTGGCACCCCAGCCAAGCCGTTAGTTCAGTAACAGCTGCAAACTAAAGTCACGCTGCTGATTTTCTCCTGCTTTTGGGAGGGCTTTGGCAAAACACGAGTGTTGTGTTATCACCTAAAAATTGTGGGAACTGGATTGTCTCCCAACCATTTCCTCCTGTGAAGTGCAGAGCTTGTGGAGGGTCATGGAAGGGGCTGATTTTCTTGCAGCCTGAGATTAGACTTTGGTGTTACCTTGTGAGGCGAAGGCCAAGGAGGCAGTGTTTGGCTTCCTTACCCTGTTAGGAGCTTTAGAAATCCATTGTAGAAAATTACAGTGGATTCAGGATTGAATGAGGAGTTGTCATAACTTGCAGAGCCCATGTGTAACGTTCTCTCTTTGGCTTGACCCGCTTGGTAGGCTGCGTCATGCCAACAATTGCCAACTCAAAAACCAGATGTTGGGAAGATGGATGCGTGCCTGCTCTGGCAGATCTATGACAGGGTTGAGCGGCCATGCAGCTTGTTGGAGAGCGAGGGAAATGTTATTTTGAGAGACCTATCATTTTGTACATTGAGGGTCTGTGAAGTCTGTGGCTGGAAGAACGTGCACAGCCTTCATTAGCGAAATTTTTTCGGCTGACATTAAGATGTTGATATTTGCCAGTTCATTGTCTTTTCCTCTTCCACTTTGTGTTCCTTTGGCTTTTGTGGAGGTTAGCCTCAGCCAGTATATTGAGTTGTTCAAGGACTCAGATTTCTGTGTGGTATAAATCACAACTCTTAATTAAAATGAGTGTGAAAAATGTAGTGTTAATTTTGTAACTGGGAGGAACAGGAAGCCTATCTTTTGAAACCTGACACCATGACTTTGATGTGAATCTGATCTACATTTGTAGAGACTTTATAGGAAAAGTTATGGCAGGTGGAGACTACTTCCAGTTGGAATATTTTTTCCATTCTTTGCATATGAAGAAAATCTGCCCCACCCAATTAAAAAATAGTATCATTTCTACTCATTGAGTCAGTTCATTAAGGTAAACCTCCAGGAAAGATGGACTTCCTTTACTTGTCCAAAACCAGAGTTGCCATTGGTTCACAATTCTATCGTGCAAGGAATAGTGAAATTTCTTGCTGGACAAGTGAAGGCTGGGTTGAATTTCAGGATGTTGATACAAGATACTTTTATTCTATTTGAATTGGATTTGTAAAAATGTTTCTAATGAGTTCTGCTGTAAAAACCTTAGTGTTATCCCTTTTAATTCTTCATTTAATCCTTATCAAATCAGATTAACAAAAGAAAGATTAGCTCCAAAATCAGGAAAAAACGTATAGCTGCAACACCGTGCTGCATTCTTCTATTAGGGTTCAAGTTTGTAATCTCTTACAGTCAACACATGTAATGTTTAAATGCTCTTACGATTTTCTAATTCAGAAAAATTTACATTTGGTCATCTTTTTCAAATCAGACTTTCTAGAATTTATAATCGTTCTCTCCTAATTATTGTTAATATCCAGCCATCCCATACCCACTGTGAAATTTAGCAGTTCATACATCTATCTCTGTGTGTTAAAATCTTCAATTCACACAGCTGCTACTCAGCCTGCAATACTGATACCTAATCTTTTGACTTTGATAAGCTTCAGAAATTTGGAGAGTTGTAAAATAAAATATGCCAATTAATGGAATCTCTGTCAGTCACTCTATGTCCCTTTTGAATACCTGAGCAATCAGATAAAGTTATTGAAACCTGGTATCATAGAAATGTCGAGCTTTCAATAATTATTTCTAGATTTCTGTATCTTTTTGTATGAGCCCTACGCATTTATTTCATGATATCAGTAAGCTATAATATAATTTGG